GTCGCTTTTTTTGTTTTATTAAATGTTCTCCCACTAGTAATTATAATTAGTTAGTAATAGTACTATATCTTAATAACAATACGAATTTAGTATTATATAATTAATGTATGGATATACATATAATGATTATTTTTTCCAAATTGTTAAGTAAATAAATTTAAGCTTTGTGCAAATAATTTGTTTATTTTTCGATGATTGCTCTAACAAAAAAATATGATTACGAATGTATATATTTAATTTTTTAACTATTATTTTAAAATCATATTTAGGTATTGGAGACATCCCGCCATTCTAGAATATTGTTAATTATTAATTTATATGTATATTATATACTTTTCTATGATAAAATACATGCAGATATATTACGAGATTATATTTAACAAGTTTTGATTTTTGTTGATTTAGATAATTGTTTTATCAAAATACCTTATGCTCTTTTGTCGATGATATCGTGATTACATGAATTTAATTAAAAATGTGTGGATACAAAAAATTCGAGATAAGTCGAATGGATATCTTTATATTAGCGAGGTATTAATAATTAAAATTTTGGGAAAATGCAGAAAAAAAAGATTGTTAAATTTTATATATAATAACAAATTTTTCAGAAAGCTTACTTAGTTCTTTAAAATCTCGTTATTATCAAGTTCGATTTATCTCGAACAGTTGGTACCCGAGATACTTTTGTATTCATACATATAAAAAATTACAATAATGCATGTATTTTATTACTATTAAATATATTCCTTCGTAATCACCATTCCATAAGAAAATCATTATAGATTATTACTCACCTGTCTCACGCAAGCTAATGTCACATGCAATTGAAAAATTAAAAAAAATATTTTCTATAAAAAATTAGGGTTCTCTTGAATTTTTTAAAATAACGTACAATTAATTTTTTTCGAATAATGTTGTAAGAACCTTATTAAGAAAAATGATTTTAGGAAAAATTAATGAAATTGTTGATTGAGGTACTGAGGATTAATAAATAATAATTTGATAAGAATTTTCAAAATTGTAAATAATTTATGTTAAAAAAAAATTAAAGAATGTTTAAAATTCTTTTTGGGTGTTAGGAGAATGCTAACAGTTTGATAGCAAATAAATCAAATATTCGAATAATTCAATCAAGCGCATCTATGTACATTATAAGCTTGTATTCTATCAAATAAGCTATCATAAAAAAGCTGTTGATATTATTTAAAGGAGAGATATTAAAAGGAGAGATAAATAAACTACGTCAACTAACACTTAGTACAATATGTGTGTATTATAGGAAATTGTTTAAATGACATTTTGTATTTATTATGTCGAATCCGTTACCGACAATTATTAGTCAACAACGACTTCTCAAAAGTGTAAGATCACAGCAAACGGAAGCATATTACTAATATTCATATTTCATTTCGTGATAATTATAACAAATATAAAATTTATCATCGAAATTACATCTTAATAGCAATTTTAATATACAGGGTAAGTTTCCAAAGACATAATACATTCTTCACAATTTGTTTGATTTAAATGTACCTATAGACTAAGTCATTTATTTAAATAATAAATTTTTTAAACCTTTTTTCGAATAAAAGTTACTTTGTGTAAAAAGATATATAATGACTTAATTAAATAAAAGTTTTAAATTATTTTTCTATTATGTTTCACAGTCTATTTAAAGAATTACCATGTTCGTTTTATTAAAATCTTATAAGGTATTTTAAAACAAATTCAATATATTTGCAACAAAGCGTAATTTTTTATTCATTAGAGAATGTGTTGCACTTGACTTTCGTAATGCTTGCGAGTTTCATTTCATGTTGTGTTTAACATTTGAGATAAACAATGAGGATAAAAAAATAATTCACATCTTTTACTAAATAAGATTAGTTACCTAAAAATATGACGTGCATGATTCTGTCATTTAAAAGTTATATTTCAAAATAATCGACGGTTATAAAATATTTATGCATATTAATAATAATATATTTGAATATTTTGAAAAAACATATGAAAAGAATGAGAATAATGTGACAAAACATCATTTAAATGTACTGAGATGTAAAATTTTAGGTAAGATGAATAGTCGCAAGAAAAAAGTAAATACTCTTTTGGAAAATGACATTCCAGTAATACAATTATCAGAATTACACTAATGTTAGAAATATCATTAAAATTAAAAACATTTAGTATCATTTAAAAGTTATTGGCTATTGTATACAAATCTTCATGTTCTTAATGTTACAATTTCTTACATAATTCCTATAATTTAAAAAGCTACATGCTATTATCATAATATTCTATTTAAAAAAAATATATATATTTTGGCAGGTATTTGGAAGAAAAATTTATGAAATATGAATTTGGCACAGATAAGTAGCAGTGTAATATTTATCACTATGATAACTATTCTTGCTGGTGAATATGTATTTTATTCCAATCCTCCAAGGGATTTCCATTTACCGTTATATATAAGACCAATACATTATCAAGTGAACTTAATTCAACTACTATATATTAAAGTACACAATTCTAGTGCGGAAGAAACATTAAATACAAACGATGAAAACAGCAATTTTCTATTTGTCGGAACATCCAATGTAACTATCAATATTGTTCGGTCAACACGTAATATAAGATTGCATTCATTACATCCAATTATAAATGATGACAAAGTGACATTAATTACAAGCGATGGTAAAATTTATCACATAAGCGAATATACAGCGGAAGAAAATATTATCGATTTCAGTTTTGATGATGTTTTAACTCCCGGATTGTATACTATAAAAATACAATTCTTTGATGAACTTCTGAAAAGATATGCTCAAAATTTTTTCGAATATTCCAAGAATAACGATGAAAAGGACATAATGTAAGTGAATGATCAACAGTTGATTATAGTTCCATAATTGAACATTACGGAACTAGGTATATACATATACATATAGTTTCGTAATGTTATTTATAATATAAATAGATATAACCATTACTTACTCTTTTTAATTAATTTTTCCTGCGTGACATATTAAAAGAAAATTAATTAAAGTAAACACAACTTGCAGTATACAATCTTATAACAATTCTTAATTATATCTTGATACCTAAATCCAACCATACAGCTAGAAATTTATAATTAGGTAATATTATTTAAGAGACAATTATAAATTATTATTTATAATAGATGGTTAATTTCACCAACTATCCAAACAACTGGACTCGGTAAATTGTTTCCTTGTTGGAGTGAAGCACATTTAAAAGCCACGTTCAAAATATCTATATATCATCATCGCAATTATACTGTTTTATTCAATATGCCGGTAATACAAGCCTATAACAATGTTGATGAAAATTATTTGTGGACGTACTTCCATGTTACTCCCCCAATGTCCATTTTGCAACTTGCAATAGTTGTGACCACTTTCTCTCGCATTCGTATTAACGAAAATATCACATTGTGGTGCAGAAAATACTCAAACGAACAATCTGTCAACTTAGAGTTCGTAAAGGATTTCATAAAAAATATCACATTGCATTTGATGTCTGAATTTAGTGAAATAAGTATTCCAAAAATAGATCACGTTGCAGTTCCAAATTTTCCATACCATGTCACGTCTAAATGGGGATTAATCTTTCATAGGTATACATATTTATATATACATACACACACGCACTCGCGGATGTATAAAAAGCACATAGTGTTTTTAAATAAGCTATTTATTTATATTATTCACTTCGAAATTTATAAACCTTTGTATTTTCATATAATTAAAAATTTTCAACTAAAAAGAATAAATAATATAATAAACAATCAGTATTATTAAATATTAGATGACCGTTTTATCGGAAACAGGGAAAATTTATGTTAATTATGCACTTGAAGGGATACTGCACTGATGACTTTGATCTTGATATATATTGTCAAGATAATCTTTAGTGATCTTCAACAGATTGTAGGCAGTCATTTATTTTTTTGTTCATAACTTTTTAACAAACAGCGACCGCTATCTAAAAATTGATAAAGATCACTCAGGGTTATGATCTTGATAGCATATGTCAAAGTCGAGGTCATCGACAAGGTGTCCCTTAAAGCGCATAATCACAACACTATTCGTGCAAAATTAATTTAAAAAATAGTTCTTTAATAACATTTAATATCAAAATAGATTTAACATATATTTAAATAAATAACATTTAACTTATCACACATTTAAATATACTAATTTAAATTTTCGAAATTGTAATTTGAACTTATACGTCAAATATTATATATATATATATATATATATTAGGTGTTGGAATTAAATTTGTTTGAGTAAGTTTAATTGACGGGAGTAAAGTAATTTATGATTTCATCTAAAAAAAAATAAGCGAACATTTTGCATATGAGAATTTATAATGTCTTTTAGAGAAGCAGATCTTATCTATGATAAACAAGTAGATACAGTTATGCGCAAGATCCAAATCGCGCGTTTAATAGCACCTAAAATAGCATATCAATGGTTCAGTAACGTAGTCAGCATATCTTGGTGGTCTCATTTTTGGTTGCATGACAGTCTTGCTACTTTATTTGGAGAAGAAGCTATTGTTAAGGTTTTTACATTTATCTTACAATGTTTTGTACCATATTTATTTTATAAACTTCAAATGTCAATTTTCACACATTTACAAAACCTATCAAAAGAAAATTTGAAGTAGAGATTTGAAGGGGAGACCGGAGTCATTTGAATATAGGGGTAAATAGAATAATCGAGGCTACATTAAAAACAAAACACATGAGATACGTTTATATAAATACTCATATATAATAATAGAACACTTTATAAAATGTTTATATTTTTGGTATTGTTTTAAAATACGAAATATATTCTTAAGGTACTTTAGTTGCTTTCGTTTATTTACTTAGGTATGACTATTAATAAATTAATGACAACTTATTTTGACAAATATTACCTATTATACCAGATTAATTATAAATAATTGTTAAAAAAATTTTTTTAATTTTTAAATTTTTTAATGTGCATAGTGTAGCAGCACAATCTACACTATAATGTAACTATATTTTCTAATTTAATTTATTTTTATTAAATTTATTTTTATTTAATTTAATTTATTTTATAACTATATTTTCTAATTTAACTTTAATTCGAGTAAATTATAAAACTTTTTTTGCAGACTTTCAATAAATCTAAATTAATGGATTTCTTCCTAGTACAAAGTCAATACGATTCTTTACATTTAGACTCTCATTATAATATGAATCCTGCTAAAATCAGTAATCTATCGAAGATTGATTCAATTTTCAGTTTTCCTCGGAGCATGAAAGGTAAAAATCATTTAATAATCTTCTAAAAATTTGAACATGAAAACATTATCAAAGAAAAGTAAAGAATGTAGATAAAATGTAGATAACCATATCGTTAAAAAAATTTAAATATAATTATATCATTATAGTACTGGTCGTTTTACGAATGTTCCAAAATGCAATTCTCACTGAAAATTTTCGGAAAAATGTTCACACATATCTACGGAGGCAGTGAGTAATGATAATATAATAATTCACATTATGTACTACATTAATGACGTAGTCGACATATACGAATATAATAAGATATGAATATATAATAATATCTAGTATTTTTTTACAAAATTAGAAACAAATTCTAACGTTATATTTTTAATATCTTTGTTCCACCTGCGTTCGTATTTTTTTGTCAATAATTTTATTGTGTTCTTTATATCTTTTTCATTCTTTATCACCACATCTTTTTATACTCCCTATATACTCATCTTTTTATAATTCATTAATTTTTATAACTTTTTAATGGAAAAGTCATATTCTAACAAACAATTATTTTATGACTAATTACAGAATTCATATTTTATATTTATAAATTATATTATAAAGTATAATATAAATTGCAATATGATACATCTAAAATATAATGTTTATACTACTGTCTATAAGTAAGAAAAATTGAAACTTCTCGTTTATATTCAATTGATTACATTAAACAAAAATTATTTTTATTTAGCATATTTAGCTCAAGTTTTTATGAAATCTCGCCGATACACGAAATCTTAGATTGGAAAATACATAATGTATCAAATGAATTTCTAACTTGGATAGAAAACGAAAGATATCCTGTTATGACATGGAAACGAGAAACTCGTAACCAGGGAACATTGTTTCAATGTATCACGGACATTTATGGAAAACGTGACAGTTATGGAAAATGGTGGATACCTGTAACTTTATATTATCCATTTTCAAAGATTAATATCCAAAAAGTATTTTTAATCCCAACACAACCGATTGCATCAGTACATATAAATGATCCCAATAGTTGGAGGATAGTCAATTTTGAGTCATCCGGTAAATATATATATAATGAAATTAGTCATATAAATTTGGTTATATTTTTTGGAATATGATCTCTTAAATATGATTTGCTATTTCTTTGTTCGTAATCTTTGTTTATGATAGGATAGATGGGACATTTTATATTCACCTAAATAGGATAATACACGATAGAACTTAGTATAAAAAATACTTTTTTTCAATTTTATCATAAAAAAGGGGGAGAGGTAGATTAAATGTCGATTCGTGTGAAAAGTATAACGCTTCTTGGTAGGGGGATATGTTCATATATGGAATGATTCTTAATATCATATATAGCAGAAATAAGATGTTATTTAAAAAATTTTTTGTCAATAATTTTTTGACTTATAACAAGCGATGATTAAAACGTTTTGGAGATCATTCAGGGTGATCTTGACAATATACGCCAAAATCAAAATTATCAGAGAGATATCTTCCAATCGGCGTGTTATTTATACAACATATAAGTGAAAAATAATTCAGTAAAATATTTTTTATTAAATAGGATACTTTCGTGTCAATTATGATAATAAAATCTTGAGTACAATTATAAATACATATCGACTTCCATTATATAAATCTATAAATGTCATCGATCGTGCGAAAATCATAGATGATGCGTTTCATTTCATGATGGAACGTCAGTTCAACGTATCTATATTTTGGAATCTCACGCAACACTTTTCGAGAGACACAGATTATGTGGCATGGTATCCGATGATTAAAATATTTGAATATATGTCGACTCTGATACCATTTGTAGTCGACGAAGTTAAGTATATCAATATTAAGGTAACGACCAACAGATATTATTTAACAAACGTTTTTATATTGTCACTATTCATTAATTTCAAATTGTAATATATTTCTAAATGAAAAGATTCAATGACGTTTCTTCTTACCTCATTTTAATATAAAGATAATGATATATATATGTAAGAATAAGGTTTTTATATCGCCGTTTTAGGTACATTTTAGGTACATTTTAGGTACATTTGAATAAATATCTCGTGTGTGTGTGCGTGTGCGCGCGCGCGTGTGTGTATGTGTGTGTGTGTGTGTCGAGTATTGATATATTATATAAAGATAATGCACGGTAAATTTTTCAAAAATAAAGTTTTTAATAAACACATTAACATAATTAACTTAAAGCATTGTATTTTTTCTCAACCTCATCGATTAAATATCTATAGATAATTATTAGGTAACTCTAAAAAGATGAATTGTATTTGATCGATTAGAAATACAAGTGTGCCTTTAAATAATTTTATCTAAAATTGATAATATGAGAAATTCAAAGTAAACCGCTTATTTATTCAAAATTTAACCGTTAATTATATTCAAAATTTTTATTAAACATTGTTTTTAAATGTAAATGTTCTTATTAAGAACAATAATGTTTAAAATTACGTTAAAAATTGCGTTTTAATATTTACATCCAATACTGAAAATTTTAAGTTATATATTTATATATGTTTACTACAGATCTTATGAGCGATTCTTTTCGAACTCATTTTAAATATAAGACTATTTCATAAAAAAGAGAATTAAAAAAATTAATCCTTCCTTGAATTTATAAGAATTATGTGTGTTGTTTAAGATAAGATAGTACTCTATTATTATGATTGAATAAAATTTACGTCATTTAGGAAAAATTTTGGAAATTGTTGGATAAACCATTAAGGACACTAGGGTTTGAAGAAGATCTAAAGGAAGATGATTTTACTAAGTACTTAAGACAAGAAATCGTGAAATGGTCATGTTCGTTTCGATACAATAAGTGCATACAAACGGCCCACGATAAATTAAAAGAGCATCTCAATGATCTTAAGAAAAATCAGTAATATTTTCTAAATGGATGATTATTTCATAATTACAATTTTTACGATTTGAATCTTGACAAACTTTTATTAATATAAAACATAATAAATACTTCTTTTTAACATGTTTTGTATTCTTTTAGAAATTCTAGACTTTTACCAGGGTGGAGGCAGTGGACATACTGCAATGGTTTAGCAATCGGTCATAATTTTGTGTGGTTCAATTTAATAAAAAAATGGTTTAAAAACTTTCAACCAAACAACTACGAGCTGTTACCGTACTTAGTTTGTTCTGGTTTAAATGTAAATAGTAGTTTATCATTTATAGCACAGTTCACAACAAGGCAAAGACAAGAAATTGAATCTTACAATCGGACTTACATACATATTTTTCATTCAGTTACTACTAAACTTGCTGCCAAATATGACATTACCTTTGAGCAGATGTTAGAAAAGCTTAACGATATAAAACCTAAGTAAGAACATTTTTTATATAAATATATGTGATATATAACATGAATTATAAAATAAAATTGTAATTGTGTGAAATGGTTTTATGTTCAGAGAAATCAACATACTAACGGTACTAGGTAATATTATCAACCATATGTATTCTGAAATTGATCTTAATAAGGTGAATAAAATTAATTCAAATTCTATACTCATTTATTAGCTTTTTCTTGGAGAGCTTACTAATAATTAGTATATTGGATGAATGCAATATAATATATATATGTATCTCGGCAAGCTTGCACTTTATTTTGCACTTTATGAAGAACGATAAATTTTTGTACGATAATACAATTTTTATCTGTGGAATGATAATAATAAATTATTTGTTAAATATAAATACTTTTGTTTCAGTTGTCCGATTATCTAGAGAAAATGAGACAAAATACTATATTTTCTTTAACTGAATTACAATTTTCAAATGTTCTACATAAGATACAAAAACGATGTTCAGAAATTAATAATCATATACAATATTTTGAGTTTATAAGTGATTCTTAATTTAATTTGAATAACCATATTACTGAAGAATATAATGTCGGTTTCATTTTTCTGGTTTTGGCTCCAATGACGAACAATTTTGTTCGCTTTTAGTTTTTAGTTATATATTATGTTCATTATACCTTTATTTGAATCTTTATATTTAGTCTTTAGTTTTAATTACATGTTATTATAATTTCTTTATATCATTAATAATATTATTATGTTCTCGTATTTTAGATACTTGTATTAGAAGTATTTCATATTAGTATACAATTATAGCATAAAATAAATATCTTTTAAAAATAATAAAGTATTTATATACTACTTTACTCTACATTATTCTTACTATTCTCAAAATTTTTTTTTTGTAATTTATATTAATATGGCATATTCAGCTTATCATTTCAACACATAGCACATTTATAAATTCTATTACATTTATATTATCAAAATATAATTAAAAAAGATATAATAAGTATTATGACAACAATAATAATTTATTAATTGTACACACGTAATTTTAATAATTATATAATAATAATAATAAATTATTTTTATATAATTGGTAACGCTTTTGAAAGCTTTTGGAAGCTTTCTCGGGTATTTTTTTTCAAAGATACGAAGATTTGTAGATTATTATTGAGTTATTCATTGCCAATGCCAACGTTTCGTGACTCTTGATATTCACTTCAGCAGAGCGAAATGCGCACTGATGCTGATGCAGTATCGTATTTCGTTCATGTGTGATTAAAATTTGTCTGTGATTATCTTATAGTACATGTGTAATAAATATTTTTGAGAAAAATTATATGAGATTGTAAAAAATCTTATCAGCACACACACACACACACACACACACACACACACACACTTCAATAAAAATTAAAAATTCCAACTTCCATTATATAATACTATAAATGTCATCAGTCGTGCGAAAATCATAGATGATGCGTTTCATTTCATGGAACATCAGTTCAACGTATCTGTATTTTGGAACCTCATGCAACACTTATCGAGAGACACAGATTATGTGGCATGGTCCGATGATTAAAATATTTGAGTATATGTCGACTATAATTCCATTTTTAGAGATAAGTACATCAATACTAAGGTAATGACCAACAGATAGAGAAAAACCTTCTATTATGAGATAGGCGCCTAATATGAGACAGCGGCTAATAACTAATAAACGCTATTTATTGTTTCCATCATCAATTTATTGTCCTTGGATTGAGAACTATTAAGGAGAAAATTCATTATTACATCATGCCTGTAGTCGTTGCAAAAAAAGATTTTAGAATTTGGATGTCTTCAAATTTTGTTGAGATAATCCTTTAAACCTTATTTATTATTTAATACGTAAATATTTGGCAACAAATTCTTTATGTGATGATAGAATAAGGTCGTATACTAATAGAAAAATACGGGATATGTTGAATTGCTTAATTATAAAAGTTAGATTTGACGATCATAAAATAGTAAAGCGTGGAAATCGTAATATGAAGTAGGCATTATTGATATGAAATAAACCATGCTCCTATGTCATAGTGAAAATCGTTGCTAAAGTATAAATGTTGTTATATAATAAAAAAGACAACCGGAATGAACGTCGAGTGCCTATTTCTGCCATGCTTGATTCGACCTACCTGAAGATGAATTCTGAGTATAATCTATCGCATGCTGGCTGTGTTTGTTTGTATTTTAGAAACATTAAATAAAGTTTTTTAATTGCAATACTGCAATATATTTTCTCATTTTACTATAGATTTCTCGCAGCATCTCATATTAGGAGCACAATTTTTTGACTTTGCAATTTGCTTACTTTTTACATTTCTTTAATTTATAAAAAAAATAAAATTTGAATTAAATTTTACATGACATTATCTTAAAGCTTATTAAATTCTCTTCAAAATAATCTATTATTTTTTTAAATTCTGCCCATAGATTTTTAGCATTTACCCAAAATAAACTCGGTATCTTATATTTAATAGGGGCCTTTCCTCTACTATTTAACAAACATATTGTTTTTATATCAATTGTTAGGCAATTTCAAAAATTGTAATTTATTTCTGAATAAAAAGATTGAATTCCATTTTTTGTTATCTCATTTTGAAATAAAGATAATAATAAATAATATATACGAAAGAATGAAGTCTTTTGTCGCAGTTTTAGGTATATTTCAAAGAATTAACATTGTGTGTGTGTGTGTGTGTCTGTTCTCATATTATTCATATATGTATACCTGATTAGTAATATTTCATATTATTATACCATTACAGCGTAAAATAAATATCTCCTAATTATAATAAACTTTTTATACGACTATCTTGTTCTACATTATTTTTACTATTTCCAAAATTCATTTGTATAATTTTTATTAATATGGTATATCCAGTTTATCATTTCAACATATATTTATAAATTTTTTTCATCATAATAGCTTTCATCCATTTTTGCAATTGTTTTAAAAGGATCCCATCATTGTGTCCAAATTATCTATATTTACAAATGGCACGTAATAAAAGTTAACGTTTTATTTCTCTTTTGTCATCACGATTCAATATCTAGCTGTTGTGACTATTCAGAAGTCTTAAATAATTTTCTAATTTGTCAAGGGAGTGTATTTGAACAATTTGCATAGTTTGCATAATTTGTAACTTTCATCATTTACTTATGACCTTCTAGCTGTTTTTTGTGCAATTTTATTTTGTAATTTTTTTTCTCTCTATACAATTTTAAATTATAGGATCTATCTGCGTATTTTATATATTACAAAAATGAAAACTATATATGTTTATCCCGTTTTTTTTCTTTTCATTTATATTTTTATAATTATTATTTTTAATTTAATTATAGCATTAATTATAGGGAAAATAAAGATTACAACATGTAACACATGAATATCAAGAAGCTGTTCGATGCTTTCTTGACAGGAAAACTCAAGGATACTCAGAGAGTAATAAAGATATGAAAGATTACTTTATTTTGATCGATTTATTCGAGATGAAACTCGTATCGTGATGATGATTCCTTTACATTTTACATGGTTTATACACAAAATCTATGTAAAATCTCAGGTAAATTCTAATTTACCTGTGTTTATTTTCTACTTTCAAATAACAAATAATTTTTAAATAAACGTCTATATGTACAAGTCACAAATTAAAAAGTTACTTTCTAATGTGTAAATCGATTGTTGTCACTTTTTACAAAAGAGTCGCTCAAGCGAGATGTATTTTAAAATTACGTAAGAAAAAAGAAAAATCCTGAAGAGATGTACATACATATACCCAGACAGCCAACTCTCAAAAACAGATTCTACAAATTATCCGTTACAAATTTTTGAACAAAAAGAAGAACAGATTTGGTGCAACATTTGGCATGTACAATGCTGTTAGTAGAATGCTGGTAGACTTATAGCAATATTTATTAATAAAATACGGTGGCAGATTGATTGATTAAAATTACACGATGACGTACTTACTGCACTTTAATATGAATTAACTACGGAACGACAGAAATCTAAGTTTTGCCGCCAATCTATCAAATTATGTCTGCAAAATATTCACTTATATAATGCAGACACAAGTAATGTCAATTTGCTAACAATTTCTAAATGAATTTTTTACTGCAATATTTCGGACGGTTTGCTTACTGGGTATACTTGAGATACATTGATATACAAGAAATAAATTATCTATCTCTAAGCGCCTCCCTTTCATTTATACACGTATCATGATCAATATTGATACAACTATAAGACTCGTAACGATACTTTGGACTTTCTTCTCGAAATTATTTCTTCTCGCGTTTAATCTCTTACTCCACAATACATTCTATTTTAACAACATTGCAACGTTTGAATAATGTTGCAGTAACGTTGCTAGAATGCTCTGTACTGTATGGGATGTGTATCCAAGTCTTTTCTTTTTTTTTTACAAAACACTGTTGCAGGATTTGCCCGCCACATACAAAATCTATGGTTCGTCATCCGCTAATGCTAGCCGCGTGAAAACGCTAAAAATCTATTAGCTACTATAATACAAGAAAACATACAATTTCCACAGTTGACTAGTTACAAAACACAATATCATGTTTGATATTCATTGATCGTTTAATATTTGTGTGATCTACGCGACCAACACGTGGACGAATATCACCATCGTGATAACTTATCTCTTTATTTATTGTCGTCCGATATGTCCGCAAGGCACTAATATCATGGCACAATTATTACATCTATAAATACTTGTAAGATCTGTATAAACTCTATATACAAATCCGCTTCTTGTATTTAAGGGCGTAGCAAAAGATAGTGTCCTTTCAGTTTTCCGCTCGTCGCTCGTCCTCTTCTTTTGCCTTAATCGAAGTTTCTGTGAGAAACAGTAGCAACAATCATAGAATGTTTTGTCGATGTGCGATTACTTGATGTATGACATACACTATTTTCTTTTTACGATTAACTCATTTTCCTTAATTCTACACAGTTCAATACTGATTTATTTTATTTGGCGTGTTCGCTTGTTTCAGTCTATTATCCTTGTGATCTCTCACGCTAAGACTCTTATATTCTATCTTTATTTCTTATCGTGTCCACTTCGTTCGTTTTCGAGTTTATTATATTTGCGAGTTGACGAGTCTCTGAGTTATCTCAAGTACGAGTACCTCGTCTATAAGATTTAAGTGACATTCTTCGCGAGTATAGTAGACTCATAGTAGATATGGAAATTTTTCTTCGCCTTCCTCTTCTGTCTCGCTGGATTCTTGGCTGGACGGAGGCGTATCCAACTGGGGCAGGCCGAGATCCAGATATTCCTAACGTCAAAAAAATATGTATAAATCAGGACTGTTATTATTACAAAAATTTTTCTGCTTATTTATCATCACGCGGATACTACGACTCACCTCGTTCGCTGTTATCGTTAATATTCTGTCGAGATCCTCGACCAGTTCGACAAATGTCGGTCGTTCACTAGGCTGATAACTCCAACAGTCTCTCATGAGCATGTATCTATAAGCAAGAAATCGAGATAAAATATAAAGATGAATCGTATATCGAGAATGCATTATGTAGTCACATCGCTCATAAAGGCGTGCCTTACATTTCGATCGAGCAGCATGGCGGTTTCTCCATTCGATGACCCGTTCTAAGCAGCTGGAATAATTTCTCCACCGACGGAACGGATGGGTAAGGCGTGCCGCCCAGGGTCATGATTTCCCACAACAGGATCCCGTACGACCATCTAGAAGAAATCACAAATAAAATATGTTAAGACTAGAAGTACCAACGTTTCCTACTCATTAAAAAGATCGAGCGAATAAATTACTAAAAAGTGAAAGTTAAAAACGTGATGAAAAACCAAATATTTTATCAGTGTAAAGGTCATAATTATTAAAAAGTCGTAACATTTCAGAAATCACCTTTTTACACAAAAAATATAATATCAATCCATTGTATAAAGTAGAAATGATTATTAATCGCTCAGCAAATCAAGTATTAAAAGATTTAAAAAACGCGGAAAAATGTGGAGTAAGCCGGAATAATTGGATAAATTTTTTTCTATTAAATGAAAAAATTATTATTCCTGGATACTCACACGTCGGATTGAGTGGTGTAAACACGATGAAAGAGAGCCTCTGGGGCCATCCACTTCACCGGCAACCGTCCATCCGTTTTCTTCCTATAGTAGTCGTTGGAATGAAGGTCTCTGGCGAGACCAAAGTCAGCGATCTTCAACACATATTCATCGCTGACGAGGACGTTCCTAGCCGCTAAATCTCTGTGTATACATCTCTTACTAGACAGGTACTCCATCCCACGCGCCACTTGGTACGCAAACGAGACCAGATCTTTTTGCGTGAGGGTCTTCCGCTCCTTCAACTCCTGTCCGATAGCCGGTTCGTATCCCAAAGAGGGCCTGTGCTCTCGGAGGAAGTCTCGTAGATTGCCGTGAGGAGCAAACTCCACTATGACGTATAGAGGACCGTTCTGAGAACAGGCACCCAGTAGATTGATGATGTTCACGTGCTTGCCAATTATCTTCATCACTTCCATCTCCGAAACTAAATCCACCATGTCGGTATCTGTGTGGCCCTCTGAGAACAAAAATATACAGTAGAAAACATTTTGTATTTGTGGTAAAATCTGTTAAAATTATTATGTTAAATTTTTAATATATCCGAGTGTTATGTGAATATCTTAATGTATTAAATTAATATTTAATATTTCTTAGTGTTAAAATGACACAATTTATAAATAAGTAAACAAATAATATAATAACTTACTATTTCAAAACGTAAATTTTAAAATGAAATGAATAAAATGTGTTAATTTAACATATTATAAATATTAATTTTACTAAAGGAATACGCTTTCACAATTTGTGCTAATTTTTACATAATTCTGTTACTTCCTAATATTCATCTTGTTAAATTAACACAAAAATTTGTTGAATTTTTTGGAACACAAATTTTTCATCTATGTATAGACGTGTACAAAATATAAGATATACATATATATATATATATACTTGTACATGTCTACATATAGATACAAAATTTATATGTTCATACACACAAGAAGGTATCACAAGTATACACAAGTCTTCCAGATATCGTGGTTGGCAGGTTGTATGTTTTTATTTGCTCACCTTTCAACATTTTTACCGCTACGACGTTGGGTATTCCGGGTTTACCGATGTTTATCTCAGCCCTGACAACCTTGCCGAAGGCTCCTTCACCCAGCGTATTGCCAAGCGTGAGATATTCCCTCGGTACTTCCCAACCGTTATCCAGCGGTATCTCGTACTCGAACACGTTGTCGTTAGTATTATCATCGGTGACAACGGTGGACTTTTGTTTCTCGATCTTTACTACCGGCATCAACAGTTCCTCCTCGTTCTGCGCGTTCACCAATTTCTGCTTCTCCACGATTACCTTCTTGGTCCATTGCGTCACGACCGCCGCACGCGCTGTTTCTATCGCAAGCAGCTTCTTCATCTTCTCGCGTTTCAATCGATGGAAAATGTATATCACAACGACGACACCCACGGCGAAGAACACACACAGAATTGCCGCCAGAATGTTTATTAAGATATGCGGCTTTGCAGCTAACGGTACTTTCTGTTCGTCCAGCGCTGAAAAATTTTACAATAATGTAACTTATTTAGCATTTGTATTCCATTGAAAAATACTTCGTTCGTATGAATGAAAATGCTCAATGATTTTAAGTGAAATTGGATTATATACTCACTTTCGACTACACGTAGATAAGCGCTGCTAAATGTTTCTCCTAAAGTATTCTGGGCAATACATGTGTACCATCCCTCATCCTTTTCAGTAACGTTGTATAACTTTAACTCTTCCGGATCTTCTGCATTCGTTCCTACCTATATTGAATAAAAGGCCATTAATCGTGCGCTCGATATCGCTAGAATCTATCGAATACATCATACAACAAGATTTATACTAATACGTAAACGCAAGTTTAAAAGAAAATGTTAAGTTATGTCTATTTTTTGACTAAAATAAAAAAATCTCTTCCGAAAAGAATACTTTATGGCGATACATTAATCGATTTTGCTTAAGTAGCCTTTTATATGATACATAATTTGTATATCTCGGAACTTTTTCATTTTAGTTGAAAAACAGTCCTAACTCATTTTCCTTTGCTTCTTTGGTAAACATTAAGGTAGAACAGAGACATTTTAATTAAGGACATTTGTAAGATTTCAAAGCAATGAAGCGATTGAAAGCGATTAAAAAAAACCACCTTGACCTCCACCCGTAAGCTTTGATTGGTCATGTTGACGGTGTCGAGAGAAGTATGGTAACCGTGATACCATTCGAGATGACGATGTGCATCGGATAAAACCCGGCAGATCATACTAGTGTTGCCTCCTATAAGCACCGTGGTATTTCGTGGTGCGATCGTCAGGATCGGTCGATGCGGTACAGTCTCTACAGAGAAAAAGAAACCCAACCACCGTTTAAACCAATATTTAGCTAGAATTAGTTGTACATGGAGAAGATGAAGCAAGAAATATAGAAATAGAAAATTCGGCTGTTATATTCAAGTCACCTGAAATGTTATTATTTTTATACTATAATAAGTAAATATAAAAATAAAAAACTGTGTGAAAATGAAAAACGGTTTGTAATACAGAAAAAAACAAAGGAACCAGATTTGCTAAATTTGCTAAAATGTAGATAAATTTATTATTTACATATAAAATAAAATAAATCATTGTAATATGCTGTAACATTCGTTAAAGTTTTCGTTTAATTCTTTGTTTAGGGTGTCATCCTGTTTTGATTTCTATGTATGAAATAGACTAGAATAAAATAAAGTAAAAAGTAAAGAATTATAAGAATAATAAGATCCTAAGAATAATAAGAAAACCCATAACCGTGAAGATACTTCCCAAACGACGTGTGCTGTAAAATGAAATAATCAAGTTTTGTTAATCACAATTAGGACAGAAAGTCTTCGTCGCTCAAAAATCTGTAAAAATTTTATGGCATTTGATATTTTGAAAAAAAATTTTGAGAATAAATAATTAGTTCACCCTACACCATTGATAGCACAGTAACAGTAACACGGACCATTACATTAATTAATGAAATGAAGTTTTTAGAATACAAAATACTAAGATGTAAACAAAAAAAGTCAGGACCCAGGACCCTCCACCACCATCATCGCGATAAATGGCGGATGTACCTGTAGCACAGTCCCATTAGGTGGTGAATCCTCTTGATCACCAGGATTTTTGGCGACTTTAATCCACTGTATAAACGGTTCGAGATCGGAGACAATGGGGCATCTGAAGATCGCGGTACTGTTAACCAGAGCGGTCACGTTCTTCGGAAAGTCCTCGTTGATGTATGGCTTATGCGGGAAACGCTCTGTGATTTCGTTAGTAGATCTTTAGTTCGCATACGACGAATCGTGTGTTCAACGAGGATGTGACGCAAAATTGTTTTATGCGCAAGAAAGCGGAGTCCATGGAAAATCATAGCATCTATACTCACCGATAATGTCGACCTTGAAGGTATAGTTGATGCATCCCAGATAATTGCACACGATGCACGTGTAATTGCCGCTATCCTTGGTAACGAGATCCTCCAATCTCAGGGTCCACTTGGTTTTGCTCACGGAACCAATATCCCGTTTTGGTTCCTCATTGTTCTTCAACCACGTGATGTTTGGCCTAGGATTGCCCACGCTCGGACATTTTAATCGCATCATGCTTCCGGCGGGTTTCACTACCAATGTGTGCATCTCGTCGGTCTTGTTAAAGGAAGGCGGACTCTCCGGAATCTTCTGGTTGTGATCGTCCTCCGTGTAGCTCTCGCTCTTCTCGTCTAGGTCTACGTCTAACTTTTCGCTGTCCAAGTGTAACGATCGTGTCTCGGGCAAGTCTGCAGAAGAGATTATTGCTTAGATTATCGTACAGCGCACGTATTTGATATCATGATTCAATTCGACAGTTAATGCCCTGTTTAATCCAGGAACAGTTATTTAGTTTTGTGTAAATAATTACTTAGGGTGATTTTTACACTTCAATTAAAAGTTATAGTTATCAATTATATGTGTCGTGTAATATTGATTGACACAACATGTGTACGATTTATTAAAATTAGAAATTATTATATATTGACTGAGAGAAAAATGTTCGATTATAATTTCTAATTATTTTCAATATTAACTACTTATTTTTTATATAGAACTATAAATATGATTGTTATTATTAACATTACAGCAGTAGTAATTATAAAAATTCAACATTTTTCTTTTAATATAGATTTACTAAACATATGGTATGAATTCTCAATCAATAAAAAATCTATTGTGTACTGAAAAAATAAGATTAACTGCCGCAGCAAATTAGATAATAAAATATGGCTTAACATTTTTAATTGGCCGCAACAGCCAATTTTTCGTTGCGATAGCCTAACCGCAATATCAGTATTATAGAATTTTGATAAGCTAACGCAATTAAAAATTGCAATTAAAAATGCTATGCCATATTCAGCCAATCTTTTCCTTCAGTGTGACTGAGTTTTATTTTCTTGCCGCTGAGATATAAAAATTATCCGGGGTGATTATTCACAGGTTAATTGAGATTCGTGAGTGAGAGTTGTCGGATAACTCACTTCTAGTTTCCATCTCGAGATCATTATCCCCGTCTGCCGATCTGAGAATATTCATCGCGCTCTTGTCTTCGCCTTCGTTCTGAAAGCCGTCGTTCTGCAAGTTCTCGACGCGTATGGTCACGTTTCTCCAATAGATAGTTTCGTTCGATTCCAATTTACAGCTGTAGACGCCAGTATCCTCCATCTCAACGAATTTGAACTTCAATAACTGCTTGTTTATACGGATTCTGCTCGTCGATTTATGCAAGGCTTCATCGTCCTTATACCATGTCGTCTTGGAGTTAAAGTTTTGCTGGCAACGCAGATTGAGTTTCTCGCCCACGGATACCACAACGTCAGGATTAATTGCATCTGCAAGGTAAACATTCTGTATTTTATTATGCATCGTATGAATATACTATGCCGACGAATACACGTTCAATCTGTATCCCTCGGGTACATCGCAATGTACAGCGTGATGCGATGTTAACGATAAGGCAAAGAGAACGGTAAGTTATTCCGCCTTTCTTTGTATGCGATTTCCGCGAAGTGAAACTCGCGATTTATTCTTCAGATTGTTTTGAATCGTTACTGAACGAGCCTTTAAAGTCAATTGGTGTCTCTGCTTCCTACGCGAGAAAAATAAACGCGATTCGTCACGGCGCTGTTTAAATAAAAGTAATAAATATGTGGAATGTTTCTAAAGTTCTATGCTATAAGACTCTTTTATTAACTTATCACACTTATTTACTGTCTTAGGTTATTGTGAAAAAAATTTGAGATATTTTTTATCCGTCTATTTAACTCGAGCGATTCCAAAAGCTTTCTTCGAAAATCAATCGCGGAATCGCTAAAAGAAAAATTAGATTATAATAATTGCATTTTTATAGTAACAATAACTATCATTAAGTCATTTAATTATATGTGTTTGTTGATAGAAACATACATATAGTTATTATTATCAACATTACAGCAGTAATAATTAATCACAAATACCAACAATTTTTCTCTCAATTGAAAAAATACAATAATTTTAATACGATAAAATGAGTCTAGTAATATAAAGTCTAATAATATTTAGCTTGAAATAATATCATAATATTCTATTATTAAATTGGTGATCAATCAAGATTCATATGCTGATAGGCATCTTATATAAATGATGCTATTACATCTTATATCAAGAGACTCATTACTAAAAATATATATATTCATTAAATATTAAGTTGCATCTTATAAATAATTTCAACTTGGTCATTAGTATATTCGCTCGTTTTCTGTTGCATCGTCTATCACATCAATTCGGCTCGTCGACGCGATCTATAATAATCGCCGTCGCGTCGCGAGAATTTGCGGAAGTCAGACAGGGATGTTCCGCGTCTAACGGGAGAGAAAGAGCAAAAGATAGCAAAACGAGAGACACGAGGCTTGGCTCTTGAGTCTGTCCGGTCTGCCTATCCCGCGATATTCGCGTCGGTTTGATCAAGGAAACTCATTTTCCTGCGCGAATTCATTCATGAGGCCGACCGGCCGGACCTCGGAGTGTCGCCATTTGGAAGACAGCCAGAAGTGAATCGCGACACTGTCCCTTCTGATGTTCCATCTGGAGCCTTTCCCTCCGACCCCGGAATGCGTCGTACACTATTTTTAGAGCTATCCCTCTCCCCCCCCCCCCCCCCCCCCGCGAACTTCTCTCACTGCGACTCTTCCTCGTGAATCGTCCTGTGTGATTACGATTGCTAATAGCATCGCAAAGTGCGTCTTCATCATCGTTACGGGATAGTTCTAAGATAGCAATATTGAAATTCGACCTTTAACTACCAATCGTTCATTGTATCAAATCTTTCAACATCCATCAAAGTCTACTCTTAATATAAATAAGGATCAATGCGATATTAATTTTCAATTTTTATTATTAGTTTTGATTAAAAATAGATGTTTTCAAGATTAATGAGTTTCATTTTATTACCTTTTCGAAAATAAGAGTCCAGTGAATCCATGTTAGAAACATAACATTTCTTTACGACGTCAGTTAAGGATTAATACAAGATCGCATTGATTCGCATCGATCTCGTTTCGATCATAGTGATAATTAGTGAGATTTTTCTCCTTTCTATTTCAGCGGATCTGCTTCCCGAGTTATTCCAGACGCCAGGAAGACTTTAATTCAATCAAGAGCTCATGCAGAGGGTCTCGTTCTTTTCGCGAATCTTTAAACATCCTCGCGTCGAGCTCATCCTCAGGGCACAAACGATTCGTTGTATCCTGCGAAGAACTCTCGACGGAAATCGATCGAGTTTATATTGTCGCTCGTTGTCGTGGACGCTTTCGCTTCGCTCTTTTTCGGAAGACAGCAACAGATGCGAGGCACGTGTCATCGGCGGCTGCGATTTGGTATGCGAAGTTCAATATAAAACACGCACCGAGACGTAATCTGTGCAGAGTACTCCTAAAATTAATTTATTTTTATAAAAAAAATTTTGAAGTAATTTTCCATTCGTTTCCCAGTAGAATTTCAATTAATTCAATCAAACATTTTTCGAAATTAAATCGATTAGATTCTTAAGCGAAACAGTTGTGATAGCTCATCATCGAAATAATGTTATTAAATAGATAATCCTTCACGGAGAAAATTTTTTCTTAGAATTTACTCTGAAAATATGACAGTCGTGGGACAACATTGTATTTCGAAGAACTTTTTAATGTAAATCTCTGTTATTCATTAATAAAATTATACAATAAAGTATAAAGTAAGTTTGATCAATTTTACTGAAATGCATGGTAAAAATCTTTAAAATGTTGTATTGTATCACAACTACCATATTTTCAGGATAAATTTTAAAAGAAAATTCTCTCCGAATTGAATATGTATTTTTACATAATAAAATTTAAAATTAAAATTTTACATAATTTTAAATTTTACATAATAAAATTTAAAATTAACTGCATAATTAAAAATCAATTTTTGAAATTTTATTTGCAACCAGATGGAAAAATGGTTATATAAGATGAATCATAAAAAATTAAAATAAAATTAATTATGCAGTTATTATTAGGATATATTTTAATGTTTAACTTATATCTAATCAATACATTCTTCTTGCATATTATATCAAATATCTGGATATTTGATATAAAAGTAAAAAGAACTAATGGGAGTCATCGCAGTAATTAGTGCACAAATTTCTTAAATGAATACAATTTTTACTAAACAATTACATAAAAATTACGCAAACATTACATTTAACGTAATCAACATGAAAAATCATCAAAAAGTGACTTTTACTAATCATTTTCCAGTTATTTAATATAATTTTTTTGTTTACTAGCTAAATTATTTTTAAGTTCAAACATTCCGCTTTGCGGAATAATAAACCACGCCGATTTGTGACTTCGACCGATAGTTAAACTGGGGATCGATTCCTCTCGCAACCGGCCATCTGCCTCGACGCCAGACGCCAGGAATAGCTTTAAACGTTTCAAGAGCTTCGCGTCACTTTTGCCGATGTTGTTCTCTCTTTCTAGAGACCTCCGGTCTTTCCTTGCCACAAGCTTTCGGTCGCTGCACGTTTTGGATATTTATACAAATTTACTCGCGTGCGTGACGAAGAACGCAGGTAGATTACGTCGCGTAAAAGAATTTTTCCAAAGAAGAAAAAGAATACTGGCGAATCCAACGTGCTTGCAATTCTTTCAGTAAATTCCTCGACAAGTCGGCGAGAATTTTGTTTGCCGCGTCGCAACATCCAGAAATATGACTGTTTGCGATGCAAATAAAGAGTTCCCAGCATACAAAGAAAATAACAAGTTAATTTTGTCAGCAAATGAAAAAATTTTGACCATAAACGAGACTTATTTTCACAAAAAGAAATAACTTCTAGCTCTTAATATTAAAAATAAAACTAGTATTGTAATATAAAGAAAAATCATTGAGAGTAACATTGCAGTTATTATTAGTGTATATTTTAATGTTTAATTTATATCTAATCAATACATTCTTCTTATATATTATATCAAATATCCCGATACTTATAAAAGTAAAAAGTGCAACTAATGGGAATTGCTGCAGTAATTAGTGCGCAAATTTCTTCAAACGAATATAATTTTTACTAAATAATTACACAAAAATTACGCGAACACATTTAACGCAATCAACATTTCAGCCCACACTTTTGATCTTCTTCAATAACTTCAATAAATAACGGTCAATATAATGACATAAATTATTTCTATTTTGATTTTAATATCGAGTGCATCTTGTTCGAGACCATTATAACCATTAACGTCGCGCAAGACGGAAACTCCTGGTTTATCAACGTCAGCAACCGTTTATTTACCCGTGTCGTGCCTGAAATGCAAGCATTTTTACCCCGACACATCGCACTGTCTTCGACATATACAACGCTTTCCCTTCGCTGTGGATAATGATAGTTGTAACGGCAGCGTTAGAAAAATTATCTCTATCCCATCGTTTTTCAAAATGTCCCTTGGTTTCCTCGCACATTACGTCTTCGTGAAGAGCACTGTATAATCTTTCAATAACACAAACCCGATCTTTTCATAGGCTGTCTTATAACGTTTTTCACTAGCAGAACTGGTGTTCAATGCACATTAAAGCTGTTGCACACTAACACTCAAAAAAGTGATCTTGCAGTTCCAGCGAAAATTATCTAAGAATGAAAAGTAGATAAATTTCTAGCAAATACTGCGATATTGGATATATATTGCCTCATAATCATATAGATGACAGAGATAGAATTTAGACTTGTGCTATAAATTCTACGATACATAATTTTCTATCAGACACAAAAAAAAACAGCTATAATTCTAGCTGGATCAGCAGAATATTTTTTTGCGTGTAACCTAATTTGAATGTAAAAGTGAGATATCGCAATTAATAAAATACTCAATGTATATTTTATCATAAATAACATGTATTGAGGATTTTGTGATTTAATTCGTTTCTATGTTTTCATTAAACGTACGTCTTTACGTCGATTTGTGTACAATGCAGCTTTAAAGTGCACTGAGTACAAACCAGCTCTGCTAGTGAAAAACGCTATTAGACTCTCTTCTCTCTTTTCTTTTTCAATCAGGACGATCAGGACGATCTCGGTGCATCTCGCTGTTACAGCACGTGCCGCTCGTAAATCGCTATCAAAGTTTCCGCGCAAACGGAGGCGCGGTTACCGGTTTTTCGAGTGCCGGATGGCTTCATAAATCACTGCTGTTTCCTTGCGTGCACGCGACTAGGAATAAAATCACTCCGATACGGGATAAATAATGTTTTGCTGCAGATACTATCTGTAACACGGGTTTTTTCCAACCGTTAGATATAAAACTAGTAGTGTTATCAGATACGAAAAGACGCATTCGTTGCGTTACGTCTTATTTACACACGTCCAATACGTCTCGAAAGACCAATCGGACAAGATACGATAAATAGGTCTCCATACGGAAAAGATCGTTTTACCAATCGACTCTTCGCGTGAATTTCTTCATTCGTGAACCACAGATTCGGAGAGCATTAAATGTGTGTTGGCGATACGATTGCCTCGTTCAGACAGACAAGACGAGGTCGACTAGTAAGATGGATTACATCGCTCCCGACGAGTCGTGCCAAAAATGTTTGTACATGATTAGAACTGGTCTCGCCGATCTCCACGATTTATGTGAACTCACAAATTAATCCACACTAGGTTACAGAAATTCAAAAGGAGCACTGGATCTTTATATATATTATCTCTTTTACGTTCGGAGCTTTCTACGATCGTCTTGCATGATTATCAGACTAAATCGTTTTGCATCGTTCGTTCGTTTCAGACGAAACAGATCTCTCGCTTCTGGCTATTTCGAGATGAAATAGCCAGAAGTCATCGAGATATAAGACGCTGATAGGGATATCATGCGTGGACAGTGATTTATGTTCTTTTAATTGTTCATTGTTTCTTTGCTTTCACAGAAACAAATCAGTCGTTGAGCGAGCATTGTTAGTATAATCTTCGCACTTAAATATGCACTGGAAAAATAATCCCGTTGCATTAATCAGAATTTTGATAGATTCAACCTTAAAGGTATAAATCGGATACTTATCTACATGGACAAGTATTCTATGCTAAAAATTAACTAGAGATAAACGTGAAAATAATTTTGTTGGACCATCAAAATAATTATAAGTAACGTTAAACTGATCGCTTTAAAAAGAATGAAAATCTGCCTTGTGAAAATCTCTCTTGAACAAGAATGGTCGCAATTTCACTCTTTTTTTTCAAGACAGACTAAATCTTCAGTCTCTTCGAGAGTGAGATTTCATTCCACGAGATTTAGAGAGGATGAGAGCTTCGCAGAGCTTTTCTCAAAATTAGCAAGATAAATATTTGACTCGAGATTTTTTCGACGAATTTTTTCAGACCCTAAACGTGTCTGTGAAGAAAAACGACTCGACGCGATACAGCGCGAGCAAACAAACGGTTTGCAAAACCAAACAGCGTTGAAGACTTAGCAGAAGCTAAGCACGCCGGATTATATGGATCACTGTGATTAATCGGCAACGTAAAACGGCGCGAATCCTAAACGACGATAGAAATCACGACTGCCGGTTAGTGTCGGAGTCTATTCTCTAGAAGTAGCTGCACTGGTTGCCGAGGAAATAAAAAAAAATCGACAGGCGAGAAAGATCTCTCGACCTCGAAGAAGTGCCCCGCGGTGTCGGATTACGATCGTCCCACGCTTTCGGCTTTTAGCATCTTCATTCGTAGACGAGGGAGAAGGAGAAGAGGTCTCTTTCATGCCGCCGATGTTAGCGGTCGATCTTACGCGAGATGATGATTCGACAAAAAGGAAAAACTCTAGACACGATAATTCCATCTTGTGCGAACGGAATACAGCACGGAAATGTTAAAACGCCAACCACTTGTTTCTTCATTACACAAGACACTTCCTTTTTATTCATAGAGTGTTCATCTATCCCGCAACGATGTCGTTTCTTCGTGGAAATCCGTCGACGCGTACAAAGTTTTCCTGATTGAAATGTGTTTCACGACGATTCCTTAATGGACGGTGATGTTTTTTTCTGTCGTCGACAACGATATTTTACGATAGGAACGAGAATCGTCGATCCAGTTACCTTGTTTCTATTCTGTAGCGCGTGTCTGACGGCTAAAGTCTCTCGTTGGGTTTTATTTGGACCTTTCTCTGCCCAGAGGAAGATAAAACGAGCGTTCGTCGGGGATGGACGTCTTCTTTCGACAAAAGACTCGATATATGATAATTCGAGATAACAAACGATCCGTAGCGAACCGAGAGCGAGCGAGATGAGTCGCGCAGGATCGAAAAGAATCCTGTTATATACGTTTTAACGCATCGTCCATTCGCGTTAAGATATCACAAAATACCGCAGGCCACTAGGATAGAGACCTGCCAACGCGAGACTGGCCCGACGATCTAATTAAGATTCCGTTTCGCCCTGGAAGTAGTCCTTTCATAATGGAGCGAACGGGGGTAAAAAGGAGATTCATGGAGCGGGAGACAGAGAGCAGATAGAAACGTCGGAATTCTTGACAGGTCGACAGTCTGAAACCATCTCGCCAGGTACGCACGTATCTATATCCGCATAATTACACCTCGAAACGGATCATCCGACTTCTCGGGAGAAATCGAGAGGAAGCGCACTCGTTATCTTAACGAATCGAGCTTCTTTCATGCTCCGTTCGAGATTGAATCGCTGACAGGAGGACAGAGAATCGTGCGGTGAGTTTCTTCAGTATCGATTTTTCGAGGATCTCCTAGGCTGCGTTTAGAAACATTAATCTATCGTTTTATCCTTGTTGTTCCACCCAACGTTAAACAATAATAAGATAAGATGATACCCTGGGATACCCGGGTGGCGTTTCCGAACGTCAGCCCTGAACGAACCATCGACATATAATACTGGATGTGGCGAAATGTCTTTGATCTTTCGTCTTGACGGATCTAGAAAGAGAAAGGTAAAATGTTTGGATATGGAACTCTTTCTACTATTGTCCTATTGGTCGAACTCTCTTCCTACACTGAAAAAAAAGATTGGCTGCGACAAATTAGTAAAATATGACATAGCATTTTTAATTGGCTGTAGCAGCCAATCTTTATTTTTCAGGGTATTATCGTCCTATTGGTTGCTACTACTCAAACATCGTTCTATCTCTTTCTAGGTCTGTCAAGACTAGATTTCGATGCTATGCTTCGTCCAGTATTATATGTCGATGGGCACAGGTCCAGCGGAAAATCGGAGTGACGCTCGATCAACTGGCAAGACCAGTCGAAAGACCAGTCGAGATCTCTTTGCGAAATCTCCTTCTCGGTTCACCCTCTCCTCTCCGGCTATCTCTCGCTCATCCAACCCCCGCCCTCCTTTCTGCCCCTTCTACGATAAATCGCGCTGCCATCTCTTTCATTGTCCAATTGGTAATATCAGCCGCTATTACGCTGTTGAATACATTTAATAGACAAAAGATTGGCAGTGGCTCTCATCGCTCCCGCCTTTGGATTTAGTCCGAGAAAATGGCGTTTCGTATCCGCCATCGCCCGGGAGAGTATCGTTGCTGGCGATTCGGTAATAGCGGCCTCCGCAGCCCGGCTCGCAATTGGACAATTGAGCTCAATCATAATAACGCTCATACGCATATCGTGCCACACAGAGACGTGTCGTTTCGCCCGTTCACCGCGACGGTATATTTATTTATTTACCGAAATATTAATCCGCATTAATTCCGGGGCGGAATATATGTCGAGCACGTCGAAAATAATCGGGGATCCCGGGAGTCTACGGGAGTTCAGGCGGAGTATTATGAATCTCCCTCCGTTTTCGCCCACCTCCACACATTTAGGTGGCCGTGTCGCGTCGCGACGAAACGAGACCCCGTTTACGTGTCTCGTTGCGCGTTTACGCACGTGGCCTCCGTCGCCGAAATTCCAACGAAACTCGCTACTTTCGAGCACGCACCAACTACGGAATATAGTGGAAATCACACCAGCGCGAGTACAAAGCCATGTCTGTTCGCCAGATGTGGTGCCGGTTGAAAATTTCGACTACGCCTTCCTCCTTTTCACCGGAGCAGCATTAGAACTTTCGTCGTGTGTTCGACGTTTTCAAATCGACCTTTCCATTGTTTAGAGCAATAAACGAGTGCCCACGCACCGTTTTCGCATACCGTTCCGTGAATACATCGCGATGTTACGTAATAATTTCAAGATCAGCGTCACAATGACAACTTCAAAATATGTGTATTTGTTGCGTTGATTTTAATGATGGAAGGTTTAGACGTAATTAAATGAAATCGGCGACCAATCCCTTTGCGTGTAGTCAAAGAAAAATGTAGCAACTATGAAGGTGAATTATACAAGTTTTATATGTAAAATTAATATATATATATATATATGTATATATTTGACTAAACTATATAATAACTTTTATAGTTGCAATAATATATAAATTGTAAAAGTAGCTTATTCAACCATATATATATATAAATTCTATATAGTTTTATATAATCGCTACCACTATATCTTTTTCTCTAAATTTGCTATTATAAAAATTATAGATATTGTTATATAAAAACAGTTGCAATCACTGTAATTTAACTTTCATTTGTAATTATTTCTTGGATCAACCGCAAGCATATTTGACAGAAATAGACATATAGTTATTATTAACATTAGTAGTAATAACCATAATTATGATAATTACAGTCACGAATATCAAAATCTCTCACTGTCTCTCGCGAAGATAAACGATCTCTGCGTCTACTTACGCCATCGATAATTATAACCACGTGGAACATAATTATATCGTCGCGCTGACGCTAATTAATTACCATGTTCCGTTACCGGTTTTGCGGTTTACAATTTAGGAAACCAAGTAAATAATCGTAGTACCACGCTTTCCTTGAATGTGGGTGCAACTAAGTGCCAGCGGTTTACGATTTAAATAGCGGCGATATCTATACACGTGGCGTTTCCCGACGAAGTTTCCCAAGAATGCAAGCGCCGATAATTAAATCGTAGCTACGAAGTCTATAGGAGTAACGTGACTGGAAATAAACCAGGATTATGAGCATCACATTTGAAAGTCTGACAGAGAGTCAACGTTTCTCGGTACAGATTTCACAAATTCCACCACGCGGCGCGAATAATTCTTCCGTATTATTAACACGGATCATAACGTCGTGCCAATTTCTTGTAACGTTTCTTGAACAGAGACGTAAAAAGTTGAATTATTTTCGCCCAGCCGGAGTCGATATAAGTCGCTGAATAATTGGTCCTTGAATCGTAAATATTTCATCTAGACTTTTCTCAAGCCGTTCCTTCTTCTTCAAGTCGTTCCTTTTTCGTTCGCACTTCCGCTTTCGCTCCTTCGCTTTCACTAGCTTCCTCATCGGACTCGCATCGCTTCTTCCTTCGCGCTATTTTTCACGTCACGTGATTCGCACTAGCCATGCTTCGTCCCGCTTGTTCCTTTTTCAATACGAAAATATCCGCAGAACGGAATGACGTACGTTGCAGACTTCCTTTACAAATTTTTGCTTCACGACGACCGCGTACCAGACGCGTCTCGTAGCGCTCACTTTAATTTGACTCACGATTTTAGAGAACGAATTCGGTGAAAGAATTTACCGCGAAATTACGACAAGATGATAATAAAATTTCATTACATAATAATTTCGGCTTTCTATTGAAATTTCCACACATCGTCTTTAAACATAACGTTTACGGGATTTCTATCGTACACAAAGCTTTCATCTCCCTTTGCAAATATTCCTAGAAAACGTCTCGAGATCGCTTCTGTGAATTAAACGCTCTCGAAATATAATTCGACTACTGTATTAATAAGCACGTATTAATCATGGATTATTTATGTACTATCGCATGCAACTTAAACTTTACGATTCATATTTATATTTCACTTTTATCGATAAGCGTACTTGTCGATAAGAGCGAGGTGTAAAAGTAAGATGAACCTATATCTTTCTGCGTAAAGTTCGAACATATAAATATTTAAAGGTGCTAGACCGTTATTATTAAATGAATAATTATGCGATTCTCTTGCAAGAAATACATATAAAAGTTATTTTTCCTCACCTAGTCGAATGTAAGGCTTCTTTCCTTGTGTAAATCCAACGGACAGGATAGTGAGGATCCCGAAGATTACGCAGATCCTCGCCATTTCGACTCGCTCGACACCGGACATACGCAGTTAGTGTAATCGTGGCATGGGTGACTTCCTGAAACAGAAACCGTGAAAAGTTTATTTATCTTTCCTTCTGTACGCGGCGCACCGGGATAAAATAGCTCATGGACGGAAAATATCTTTCAACGACTTCTTCGCGAGCAACGAGAGCAGTTGCAACTTCATCTTGATCGCAACCACTGTGCAGAAATGATGAGAAAGGGAAAGAAAGGGAAGGGTAATTATGTAACAAATATAAAAAGTATTTATGCAGAAGAGATTTTTATTAATAATATAAATACCTCATTGGTAGAGAAAATAAATATTAAATCACAATTTTATTAATAATGAATACGTTCTGTACTAATACGACAAAAAAGTTTCGAAAATTACTTAATCATATTTATAATCTTAGAAGTTACTGACTATTTTACGAATATTTTATATGTATCTGAATAATACAGTTTTTCATTTTTGCTTATTATTAACCCTTAATCTTGTCGCTATGAATATTGCATCTAATTGTAAGTTTTAAATTTGAAGCATTCTCTTTGAATAAATAGAATGCAAATAAATTTCAATCTTAAGGAGAGATTGATAGAGAAAGGTTCAAAGTTTATTTTATCAACAGATTAAAAATCTTATGATATCAATCGTGATTGTATAATCGTCTAAAAATTTATGCTTCTGGACTAAACCATCCCCGTTGCTACACTCGAGGATTAAGATAATATATTTTAATTATTACGTCTTTTTAGGTGAAATAATTTTAAGAAATATACAATCTATTTTATTCTTTGTTAATTAATGTTTACTTTCTAAGAATAAGATTTGTTAAAAAAGATATCTTTTTTATACAAATATTTCTTGCACTCACTGTATGTAAATGGTAAAAAGAAAGAACAACACTGAGAGAAAGAAATATTCAGTAGTCAAAACAAACTCGTAATTATGTCGACATTAATAATAGATGAGCAAAACGCTCATTTCCTTCCCTTCTTTTCTTCGACTGTCCGACCTCGTCGTATTTTTTCTCTTTTCGCGAGGAGAGTCTCTCCTCATTTGGCGGATGGCCAGACCCCGAAAACGCGATGCACTCACCGAGGACACGTCGACTAACAGTTTTAGACACGAACACGTTGAAATACGGCCCTGAGAGTACCAGCATGCAAGTCAAGTTTTACGCACGTGCTTCCCGTTCAGGAATGACGACGTTCTTCGTTTTTAATATGACTTGAAGTCATTGTCAGAAATCCATATATGTATACCTTGGATATCGATATTCGTGAGTTTGATAGCAGAGAAATGATAGCGCGAGAAATGGAATCTCATTAGAAAGTTTTTATTTATTACAATACGTTTATTTTGTTACAATACTGTTTATTCAGATACGTTATCTTTTTCTTTACAATTGTAATAATTAAGAAAAAAGTAATGACTTTAGCGTTCACCGTATCTCGATCCACGTTATTACGAAAACTCTCTATTGACTAAGGATGTCCTGGATCGTAAAATTATCGGATACCGGATATCGGATATCCGGACAGAATGTAACATCAGATATCTGGTCGGATATAAGAAGGCAATTTCTTTGAGTCGGATATCTAACCGAATTCCGAGAAAGTGTCTTCTAAAAAAAAGGCTTATAGAAAAAAAGATTGTATTATATATTATTATATATTTTTATAATTTTGTAATAATATATAAGATATTATAGCATTATGAATATGCATACTTATTTCTAGAACAGAACATTTGTATAAGAAAAAAATCAACAATTTAATGATACTAAATTTCAACTGGATACTAATGACATCCAGCTATTCGGTCGGATAGTAAAAAAGTGCCGGATAATACCGGTTACCAATACTTCCCGGATATCCAGTGCATTTAAAACTTCAAACAGGAAGCAATTATAAACAAAAGTATTCTATAAAAATGCAACTTTTTTTTTAAACCGTGACATTTATAACACTTTCAAAGTGTTTGATACATGGTAAAATATTATTGTTAGGAATTCCGTTTTTATAATTTTTACTATAATATTAGTATAAATAATTATAATATATTTTTAGTTTTACCAAAGAAAATATATGACACCTAAAAGATTATAAATTAGAAAATAAGTATTAAATTATGGTAATTGCAACTTTTTCTCTCAATATAAGATCGGATATATACTTACATTTAAAAGTAATATATACAATTTATACGGAAACAGCGTGGCACGAACGAAAGGAGAATTATTACAAGGAACGATCGAAAGTAAGCAGAACTGATAACTGAAGATACGAGGCTTCGATATATATATTATTTTTTTGAAAACTCTCGAGACGACAATGTCAATGCTCGATTACAGTCAGCTGTTGTTTTGTTGATACATTTGGAGTATTATTACAAATCAATATTATTCGATCGTTTCTCTTATCAAATCTACGTTATTTGACGATAAATCCTAATGAGTATGATTAGCTCTATATAACTTGTGTGCACTGAGAGAAAAATTGTTTATCAATTTTATTGTCAATTTTCCTAAGTATTCAATAATTTAGATAGACACAGATCTAAAAAGAATTTTGTTAGATACTACCAAAGTTATTTTCAGGTCTGTATTTAATTAAATTTTTGAATACTTCAGCAAAATCATTCTCTCCATGTATAATTATAGTTTTAATTATTGTAGTATTAGTAATAATAACTATATGTATAGTTTTATTAACTAATATATATACAACCGAAAATGATTATAATTATAGTTATGATAATCATAAAAATTGGGTTCACGGAAAAAATTTTCTCTTAAAATTTATTCTTATAATATGGTAGTTGTAGTCTAATATTTTTAAGATTTTTACCATGCATTTAAAATTAATCAAATTTATTTTGTTGTACTTTATTGTAGTTTTATTAATAAATGAGAGAGATATAAAATTTTTCAAAATACAATGCGTTGTCTCACGATTATCATATTTTCGGAGTAAACTCTAAGAAAAAATTCTCTCCGTGTTGAAATTACCATAAAAAAAAATTATTTAAATGACTATATATAATTATATTTATTTAAAATTACTTTTCATAATAATTGAGTATAATTTGACATTATAAATTTAAGATGGTTTTTTAGTAAAGTGCTGAAAATTTTTGGGATGTCTCACCAGGGCCCACCCAAAATTACAAAGGTCTGTATAATTTAAATCTGGATAAAATATTAAAACTACGCGTATATCTTAATGAAATATTATGGAACATACGATAGTCAAGAACTGCATCTTCATCGAACGAAAATAAGATGAGATTATGTTTACTTTTCAAAGTGAAATTTATATGCAAGTTTATGCACGTAAATATCTTTCCAAAATGGCCATTGATCTATTATTTTTTTGACCATTAAAATCAATTTAATTTTTTAAACTGTTATAATCTTGTTTTTTCTTTAGAAGAATTTTGCAAACACGTTCATTTCGATACTTCAACTTCATTATATAAAAAAATTAGATTTTTCTATGAACTCGATTTACTAAAAAACTATCTCAATAATGAAGCGTTTGAATTTGAAACAATCGGCTATTGACCAACTTTTACATATTATTTTCGACATATCCGATCTCGAGTATCTTGTAAAAGTAACTTCATGATCGATGTTTTCCTCAGGACATTCTACATATGCGTTTGTTTTGCCGTGCTGCCATTAATGACTGTTGAAAAGGTCGAGAGTACGTCTTCGAAGTGGATTGTTTTCTTTGAAATATCCTAACGACTACGTGAACACATTTCTCCTTAGAGGCTCGGTTTGAAAAATACAGGTTTGTAAGTTCGGAAGACATAAAAAATGACAAATCCGGCGAACGACGATTAATATCCGACCCTTCCTCAGGGGGTCGAAGAATCTCACGGGTTCTCGATGTCTGGGACGTTCCTCGCTGGATCGAGGCGTCACCTGTTGCGTCGATGAAAAAGAAAAATACGCACATCCTCGCTGTTGTTGAAGTCCATTGGTGTCTGATCTCTCTAGAAGAATCACAGTCGTGAGAAGGTTTTCCCTCAGCATCCCCGAGGCAGGCCAGAAAAAGGATCGTAACGAGAGAAGGCATATCGACGCAAGCGAAACTGAAGAGAAATCGTAGATCTTTTGAAAGACAATATTACAGAAATAATTTGATAGTTTGCAAAGGAAAGGCAAAAATCTGGAGAGCACATTACTGTAGCAAAAGAACATATGATTTTCAGGCAGAAAAATATCCTGAAATAAATAATTATATTGTATCGTACTTAATAATTTATTTTGATAATTTATGTACGCGTTTTATTTTGCGGAAAGCAAAAGCAAGTATTTATTTCAATTTATTCGTATTTCGTGTGTATTTCACTCGCTGGCACTCGCTCGAAAATAAATTACGAAGGATATTCATATTTAGAGAAATTTCATATTTTAGTCGCGTTAATAATTCGCCGATTTTAGATACGCGTGGGTCGTGGAATTTCGAGCGAAGCGCAAATAGTCGGCGTAAAGCAACCCAAAGGGCCGCACATTAGTTTATAAATAACTGGTCGAATGCATAGGACGAAATGCAGAACTGTTCTCGGTAATGCATGTAATAATTAAAGCGAGTATTCCTCCGAATCTGGTTAGATACGCGTGCATGTTAGGCACACATGCTTGTTTTATGTTATCGTATACGTTATACGTTAACATAACACGCCGGATTCAGTAGAATGCTTGCTTAATAATTAAATTGCGTGACGATCCTAATTTATAAATTCTAATTTGTATGCAGAACGCAAGGCACGAAGTCTCTATTAGCTGTTTTACGATCGTATTTGTGGTTAACGCTGCTAATGAAAAAAATATTCTGATTATATCAGTGAGACGTAACATGGAATAACAGAACGCATTTTAGTGAGGTAATTTATAAAAGAATTTTGATTCGTTTATTTTCTAACTTGTTTAATCAACCAGATTTATAATTTATGCATGTAATCAGACTTTTTTCCAACGTAAGGATCTTGATTACAGATTTTCATCGTCAAGGAACGTCACTACGATCGTGAACGAGGAGACAGCTCGGATATTTGCGAATATATTCATAGCACAAATTTGACATTACGCAAAGTTTAGTGTTCGATAAAAGAGAGCGTAATGTAAACACCGATATTTCTTTCGCATTTAATTAGCGCGATGTATTTGCGTTCGAATATATTGGAGACTCGCTATAAATTCGTGCCCATTTCCTTAACGGCGAGGCATAAATGTGGCGTTTAAATTATTAATAGTCTTTATCTTACCAATTTTATCTCAATCGATGATAAAAATACTATTCCAGTATATATAACACGCCGCTGTCGAATCAGAGCAACGATAAATATTCCCTTAAAACTGCACTAATATTTTATAAGTGAAAGAATCTTTAGCATCTTTAGCATCTGATTAATTCAGAAGATAACATTTCCGGTTTGTTTTATTATCACGCGATTATTACATTTATGACTTCGTTCTAGAGAGAATTTAAATGTATAAGATCAATCGTATATGGAAAGATAATAAGATTTTACTGAAGTATCTAAAAATTTAGTTAGATTACGGATCTGAAAATAATTTTATTGAATTATAAAATATAATTTTGTATTATACAGGAATTTTTTTCTCAAGCATGATAAGCAATGCTGTAAAAAGTTTTAACAAATTAATTCTAGCAATTAGTTTGAACGTCCTACATAATTATATTATGATCCAACAAATTATTATATTTTCAGATCTATGTCTGATTTTAAATATTTTAACAAAATCATCCTCTGTGTATTTATTATTTTTTTCAAATATATTCAATAACCTTCAAGAATTTACGTGATCGGTTTGAACTACACGAAGATATTCTTAAGACATAAAGCTATTGTAATGAATATGCTTTTCTCGTTGCTCCAAATTGAATTAAATAGCGATAATAAAATTCTTCCGTCCATGTATTTTGTACAAATCAGAAAATTGCAATTCTCGGAAGTTGGAATTTTATGAGATATTTTATCGAGATTTCGTTCGAGATTTCCGCCGACTTTCGATTATAAATAAATGTTCCGTGCACAAGAGAATATTTCCAGTTTCATTACTGTGAACTTTGCAGTCAACGACCACAGAAAGTACGAAATTTCATGAGAGAAATATAGTAATTTTGAATGCGCGATTGCGTTCAAAATCGTGCGTTATTAAAACGTCTTGGCAAGATATAATGTACAAATTAGATGACAGCTGTGTTTTCGTAAATTGTTTTATCTCAATAAATACATGTGTGTATATCACTGTTATTTTAAGATATTTTCATAATTTTATCTTCATAATTAAATATATTTAGATCGGTAAAAACACAAATTCAAGTTTCTATATCGTAGAAATATTTAACATTACACACTAGGAGTAGGTAGGAGTACTTAAAAATATCACACAAATCGGTTTACAAAAACTATCATAAAATAACGTGTGAACGTTGGTGCCAGTAAACATTTGTTCTTTATGAAACGGCACGCGAACGCAGGCTATCATAAATCGACCCGAGAACGGCCGAATGGAATCTATCTTATTGATCTCTCTCTCTCTCTCTCTTTTTCTCTATTTCTACTGTACTTCATAAAAAATAATAGGCTTCGACCGAAAGTTAGATCTTAGAACAAGCGTGTCTGGTTCTCGTCGAAATCGTAACGAAAACCATGCCCACGTTTTCTCGCCTCGTACTTATCGACACGCTCATATTATACACGCATACATGCACACTACGCTTCTTTCTTTCTATAATTTAAAGCACGATCCATCGAACGCCTGAAATTTTCCCGACAAAGACGATTCCATCAGCGGGAATGTAAATCTGGCATCAAAACAAAACTCGTGCACTCGCTAAACCCGTCTAGTATTTTAAAGAGATCATTCATGAAATGGGATTGTAATAAAGGCGATTGGAATAATGCACAGTGTCAACTTCGATTTCTGTAGTTTTATTTAAGAGAGATTGCTTTCAGAGAGAGATATTCATGATAGAGTTAATAATTTATAATTGGTATATAATTTTTTTCACATAAACCAAATAAGTATAAACAGTTAAGTTTTCAGAAAACAAAATATTTCTCATCTTCAAATAGTCCATCATATAAAAATGAATACATAGAAACAAAGATTTTAGTTAATAGTTTAAGGATTCATTAAAAAAATAAAAAATCTCTGGACTTGTTTGATTCCTGTAAAATTTTTTATTTAGTAGATATTATTAGGTGTTGGAATTAATTCGTAGCGTTTTACAAGTGATGGGAAGTACTTTCATTAATGTATTTTTTAATGCTCATGTGAAATAAATAACATTCTTTCATTAAAAAACGCTACGAATTAATTCCAACACCTAATATATATTTTATTAAATAAAAAATTTTGCAAGAATCAAACATTTATTCCATAATATTTTTACTTATCTATTTTTATAATATTAATAACGATTAAGGAAATATAATTTAAAATATAAAGCAAATAATTTTTTCATATTTTATTTATAAAATTTTACAAGCAGTTCTTAATAAAAATATTCTTGCAAATATTGAATTCTTAATTATATTTTTCTGTTTGATTTTTAAAACATAATTGTTCAAGATATAACATTATACAATATATAGTTACGTCTTATTACAATAAAAAAAAATGTTCTCATTGTCAGTGTATACGTTCAGAAAAGATAAATGATAGAACAATTTAAGAAATTGATAACAAAACATTAAAAATTAGCATCTCATCTTCATTCATGTATTCTTCCTCTTTGCATCTTCAATTAGTTGCTAAGTGTCGCGTTTAACTATCGTCAAAATTTCTGTATGAAATGAAACGATGTAAAACATGGGTTAAACTTTCGGAAGAAAGTGGCGACGAGTTTTTAAATTATATCTTTCGACACCGCGAGGTGTCCTGGACCTACGTTACGATAATTACGAGTGGCCAAATCCCGTCGGGTCTGCGTGATGAAAACAGGTTGGAGCAATTTCATTCAATTTGTCGAGGGTCGTGGAACACTCCCTCGTAGGAATATCGTAGATCTTGCCGAGATTTCCGTTGATAATCATAGGACGGCTACGAACGAGGAAAAAAGGGGATCGTCGCGGCACTTAAACATCCATGCATAAATCAAGGTGTACTTCCTGGCTCCTTCAGGAGTATTCAAGAAGCGTGCTTTAAGATAGGCTCATATTACATTTTTTTCTTCTATGAACTCTCGAATATTTAAGTAAATGCGATGCTAATATTATTTTACACGATTTTGATATTATTTTAATTGAAACGGGACATAATTTACAGCGGTATACCTCGAGGAAGAAAGAGACAGGTAAAGTCGTAAATAAATTCGGCAAAGTAACCCTGGAGATAAAGGAGAATGAAAGTATGGAACTATGGAAATTTATGAACGGCAATTGTGATAGAAACACAATTTTGTCGGCTCGAAATGGCGCCTAATCGAATGCACCTTGATATCTTCGCCGTTAAAAAGCTCGTTCAACTGTCGCTGAACGAAGCGGCGGTGCGGATCAAAGACGAGAAGAAGATGGAGACAGAAAAGGTGCATTAAGGAGGAGGATCACGAGAAGAGTACAGGGAGATACTAAAGGAAGGTTTCGAAGAGATCCGTTTTTCTGGAAGCACCTCTTTCTCGTGACATAAATCGTGGACGATAAAAATCATAAAACGGAGTAAACTATAAATCGGAAGTACGTATTAATACAAAAAAAATATCGTGTAAAAATATCAAGTGCCATGAGTAAAAGATATGTGAATAATGTGCTGTTTACATTCGTATTTTTAGTCTCTCTTTCATTTAAACTCATTATCAGTTTTATTCTCTTGATTTACCTCACTCTTAATCAGTAGATAACTTATGGCTCGTCGTATCGTCGAATTTCCAGGTTACTTTATTAGTGTAAGATACTATTATTGTTATAATAAGTATACTAGCTATTTCATAAAGTGAAATATAAAGAAAGCTTTCCAGCAAGAGACACAAATTGATACAAAAGTCATCCTGTTCTTGTTCAATAATCAGTAAAAAATAAAGAATAATTCTTATGTCGATTTGTGCCTCTTCTGGAAAGCTTTCTATATCAACTCTATTAATCGTGATTAATTAGTTAGTTGTAAATTGATCCGTGCACGTATATATGTAGATATATCAAAGTTAAAGTTATTAAAATTTAAAATTGATAATTAAACTATTAGGTGTTGGAATTAATTCGTAGCGTTTTACAAGTGATGGGAAGTACTTTCATTAATGTATTTTTTAATGCTCATGTGAAATAAATAACATTCTTTCATTAAAAAACGCTACGAATTAATTCCAACACCTAATATATTTATCATAATATTACAATCATAATTTTTAACACCCGGAAAACAGTTTATCATAATATTAAAACTATAATATTTATATAACACTTGACAGAAATCATTGATTATCCGGACAATTAGTTTTATAACTGCATATCTGTGTACTGATAATATAACGATAACGATAACTATCATTAAGAGTTACAGAATATAAAATCTGATCCGAACAAATTTAAAATAAACTTTTAGCTTATCCTTATAATTCTTTATTCACGTTCATATATTTGTTTACATTCATTCGCGCGAACCGGAAATGGATTGTTTCGGAAACAAGTTTCATGAGTGGGTTAAGATATTATCCGTACACGGAGAGGGTGTCGACCCCCAAAAAATAAGCCGCTTAGAAAGCATATCCGTTTTAGCCCTATGGGGTCGTGAGAAGAATTAATAACTTCGACAATCAGATCGTAACATACACGTGGGTGGCTTTACTTGTACTATAGGATTTCATGAACACTAAACTTTTTACTATTTTGCTCGAATGACAATTTGCTCGCGAAATATTAAAAGATTCCATAATGAGATTTCTTTTCTTCCTTTTTTCTAAATTTTAAATCACGTGAAATAAAATTGCCTTGAGTTCATTTAAAAAACGTCGATTTGAGACATGCACTAAATAGATTGAAGTTGTTTCATTAAATTTTAAAAGAAATTATTCTAATCGAAATATCGAAACTTCAAAAGTTTATTTGATAAAAACAACATTGATCATTAAAGTATGGCATGTTGTAAGAGTTTAAATCTCACTATTTCAAGAAATTTGTGAAGTAAAAAAATGGATAATTTTTTAGGGCTATATAATAGGGCTATAAGTTACATGACTGTTTTTATGTTGTATTAATCAATAAAATGAATACACATTTCATATTATTTTTCGTTTTAGTTATAAAATAAATCTTTTTTTTCAGAAACAGAATTTATAATATAATTTTATATATGTATATATAATATATATATAAATGTACGTCTCGTTTTGTGTACAACGACTTTAAAGTGCACTGAGTACACATTTTGCTAATAAAAAATTTTATTAGCAATTTGTTAACCTATTAGCTATTAGTTAACCGTGGAAGCACAAATTTCTTCTCATGTTAAAATGCTTTTCAATCCTGAATGCATTTTTCTTCATTTATAGGAATTCTATGAAGCACATCTCTGCCTTTCAATCTAAAAATAATATTAGCTTTTTCTGTGCAACACACACACACACACACACATTATGAATATGTTCAATTCAAAATTTTGAATAAGAAATACAGTTTTTGAATCCAATCGCATCCAATTGAATCCAATTAAATCCAAAAAAAAGTATTCGCTATTTAAAATACGGATAGAAAAAAATTTCCATCCATTTTAATCCATTCTCATTTGCTGGGATAACGATCTTAAAGAATGGGGTTGCTGGTTGGTCGAAGTGACGTGTCACGCGCTGATTGGCGCAGACGCCCGTCCGATACTTTCGAACTTTCGCGAAACTAGCGCGCTCGAACCCCTTCGCGCTAAGCGCCAGTTTTCGTACATTATCCGCGTAATCGTGACACGTATATCATTTCGCGAAAATCTCCGCCGAATCTACTTTGATCGGTGATCCGACTTATCGCGCATTGAGCTACTTCGAAGAGCCGTTGCTGTACGGAAGACGATGAATAGTCGCAGAGCTCCCTTCGAATGCCGAAATCGCCGAGCCGATCATCAGTGTGGTAGGCGATGTTCGTTTCCGAGAACGGTAAGTGGACATTTTTGTTTTTCCCTACCGTTTCGTGGCGGCGAGAAATGTCGCGGCGTAAACGCGTCGCGGCATCTCTCGAGGCCTCGTCGAGAGATGATATAATGAATAAAACATGTATTTAACGTGACCGCTGAGCGAATTGAGATGTCTATGACGGTCACGATCGATTCGTCGTTATTAACGCAGAATCTCGTCGACTCGCGAAACGCCGAAACTGTTGCGCGACATGATCGCTCACGTGACCGTTATTTTTCACGTTCGATGTCGAATAATTTGAAATTAAAACAATAAAAACAACAGATTTATGAGCTAAACTAGATATTTGCTAATTATCATCAACAGCACGTCGTTATAATATAGAAATGATGTCCAAATGACTCCAAAATGAGTATTAAAAGTCATTTTCCGATTCATTTCAATGTCATTTTGACTTGTTGTTCTGCTTGATAAAACAATTTCTAACAAACGTTTCGATATCTATGTTAGGTCATTCTTAATGTTGACATTGAAAATGACCCGACAGAGATCGAAACGTCTGTTAGAAATTGATTTACTGTTTATAATAATTTTAACATTAAATATCTATTTAATTCTTGGCTCGTTTGTTTTTATTGTATTAATTTGTAATATTAATTTTTAATGGAATTTTGATATAATACAAATAAAAGTACATTCTCGCTATATATTGTATTTTCTATGTTTTCATTCTATTTCCGCGAGCAACTAAATTGATAGCTTTTTACTTATGTTGTAGCAAATGAACGAATATATTCATCAATATAGGTATAGGATCTTTGTGTGTTTTCACTTATAAATTCGAAATGAGTGAAATGCGTCGAGATTAATTATCGATAATAGGAAGAGAATTCGTTCTGCATGATATTGTTGAAGATCAATCTCGTATCTTTATTCACGCGGTGCCGACAAGCTCGACATTTGCGATCGTCATGCTACGATCTACGATGGAGATTCGTGACGAGCATATAGTGATCGAGAAAAAAACGTGCGATGCTTCCGCGAACGCCTTGGAAAATCGTGCGACGCAATGCTTCTGCGAACTGCAGAAGTGGGGAACGAGGGAGGTCAATATCGAGTTGTTTGTCTTCAGATTGTTTTCATATCTCACGGATACGTAAACACAAGCGATACACTGTGCGACACATTTTTTCATATCTTTTATATTTTCCGATATTCGACTCGTTACTTTCTAACAGACGTTTTGATCTCTATTTTGGATTGTTCTCAATATTTGGATTGTTGACATACAATTTTAAAAATTCAACGGAATACAAATTATAAGAATAGCATTAATCGGACAAAGTAATACTAAGATATCATAATAGATACATAAATATCGAAATTAATCCGTAATCGTTGTCGTCCTTTGCGATTAATGGAGATAGATCATTTATTGATATGTCAATCTGAGTTTTAATATAGAATAATCAATATGTAAAGGTTGTAAAAACCAAGCGAACGCTTTTCGTCTAATATTACATGATCGCAAACAGTAACATTAATACTTAACTAAAATTTAACAGTAGCAAGTTATACAAAATATGAAATGGGTCACTCTATACCTAATTAATAATTTGTTTAATTTGATTAATTACAAAGTGTTTTTGTAACTCAACGTATAGTAATGAAAAAGTTTTTTTGATTTTTTTCTGAAATTTTTAGGTTGATGTTCTGAAATTGGCTGATCGAGAGTTGGCGAAAGGCATATATCATGAGGAGGATCGAGAGATTGGCTGAAAGATTCGTATTCATGATTTATCGGCTTGATTTAGCGACTTTCCCGCTGGCCCATCGCCTGACGAAGATACTTCCCGGCGATTGTTGATAACTTCGTGAGATGAGGCTCGAAGGTAAGAAAGTTAAAGGAGATACTTTAACTGCATGAATAATAAGAGGTACGTGCGATGCTTTCGGAAGAGGAGACGCGGAGGGATCGATAGAATGGGGAAGCGTACGCACGATGTTGGAATATTTTATTTATTAGAATCGATCGAGAGACGCATGTTGAATCCGCAATAAGCTCTCGAAAATTCGTCTTGCGTAAGATCTTCAGTTGATAACGAAAAATCTATATCGATTCTCTCACTTTTTTTGTTGAATTATTGATTATTTACTTTTTTATCATAATATTGTATTTTTTAATTTGTCAATGTTTGAGTAAATTTTTTAATAATGATTTCAAATATTAATAATAAATTGTAAAACAATATACACTCAATATATAATACATATAATGTTATTATATAATATATATATATATATAGTTAATGGAAGAATGACTTTAATGAAGAATCTAAAAATTCAGCTATTGATTAGATTTCATACAGAAAATAATTATGTTGGACTATTAAAATAATTATATTGGACGCTCAAGCTACAATATAATTGCTAAAATTTATTATTATTAAATAATGTCAAATTTTTTACGGTATTATTAATTATTATCATACTTGATAATAATTCTTATATAATTATTTTATTTTATTATTTTTTAAGTTTTTTTTATTTTAATCTCATCTTATAATTATTTTAATTCAATGTAATTATTTTAAAATCTGTATATATAGGTAATTTT